CCTCTGCCCTCCCTCTCTCCAGCCCCAGCCCTGAGCGGGCAGGGTGCTAACCCCCCCGAGCCCTGCCTGGGGCTGGGAGTCCGGCAGCCAGGAGGCAGCTGCCAGCCCCTCCTCAGCACCCCTCCGTGCCGGGGCTGTCCCCAGCCAGGGGGAAAAACCACAGCGCACACAAGAAGTGAAGAGCGAGTTTTACTTCAGTAACCGAGAGAAGAAGCTGTACAAAGGTTTTTCTCCCCCCAAGCCGCCTGGGGCAAGGGTGGATTATATTTTTTTCTTTTTTTTTTTTCTTCTTTTTTTTTTTTTTTTTTTGCAATAGACTCAAAAGAGCAGAATAAAAAGTTTGACACATTCGCAAAGTCAGTGCTGAAACCAGCCAGGTCCCGGGCAGCCAAGAACAGCGCGTGTGACAGCCCCTGCCTGCAGCCCTTCCGCTGTCCCCGGAGCCCTCCCTGCACACCCTGGGTGCTCCTGCAGCCGCGCTCCACCACCAGCACCCTGCTCCAGATAAGCATCCTCCAGCCCACGCTGGGGTGGCAGGGGCTGCCCCAGCCTGCTCCTCCCCTTGGAGAGGAGGGAGCCCATGGCCAAGGAAGGGGCTACACCACTGCTGCTGCAGCATGAGGACCTCGCAGCGCTGAGGACGGGGCTTTGCCGGCAGCCTCCAAGGCCCCAGCCGTGCTTTGGAGAAGCAGCATGGGAAAGAAAGCTGGCTCCAGCCTGCACCAGCCCCACAGGGCAGCAGGGAGCCACAAGTCAACCCTGGCTTTGAGGTTCACCTCCCCCAGCCAGGAGGTGGTACACACTGGTACCCAGCACACCCCGGCAGCACAAACGGGGACCGTCCAGGCTGCCAGGGGGGTCATGAAGCACCGGCACATCAGCCCTCTTGCCGCCCCCCCCCATGCAGCCACGAGCGCAGCAGTGGGTGCTGCCTTCCCAAGGCTGCCTCCTCAGTGCCGGTGGCCACGGGCCTGTCTCTCTCCGAAGGCTTGCTGGTGCCAGAGCTGGGCTGGGATACAGGCAGCAACACAGACAGAGGAGCCCATGCTCAGCTTGCTACAGCAGAGCAGGGAGGGCTGAGTGATCCCCCCTGAATCCATGTAAAAACCTCCTCCCTTCAGAGTGCAGTGCCTACAGGACATGGCTGGGTTTGTGGTTTTGTTTTGTTTTTTTTTCAAACAGTTCCCAAAAAGCATCAAAAGTAGCCCCAAAAACCCCTCCCTGGTGGTCAGCTCGATCTGATACTAAAAAGTGCAAAACTGTATCACAAAAACCGTTCAAAAGTTGTAAGAAAGCGGGGAGGGTGCAGAGGTGGCAGGGAGGGGGCCAGGTGCCATCTCCCTGGCTCCCCTGGCCACCAGCCCAGGAGAGGGGTCATGCCAGGGCTGGCCCCCTCCTGTCTGCCCCCCCCATGGCACAACGGAGCTGGAGAAGCGGCCGCTGGCTTTGTTTTGCTGCATTTTTGTCTTTTTTTTGTGGTTTTTTTTTTTTGTTTTTTTTTTTTTTTTTAAACCACTGAAGAATTGAGCCCAGTGGGTGAGTTTCAGTCATGCCCCCCTGCCCAGGGCGGGGGGACTGGGTCCTGCAGCCAAGCGCAGGACAAGGAGGGGCAGAAATGAGTCTGACGGGGCCAACGGTGCAGGCAGCTCCGTGGGCAAGGACTGGGGACGGTCCCGCTCTGCCATCATCTCCGGCGGAGGGGCCATGGCCATGCCTGGCTAGTGCTGGTGGCCGGCGAAGGGCCCCAGCTTGTGCCGCAGATGGATGGACTCATGCAGGGTCTCAGCAGGCACGTGGCCTCCATCCCGGCGCCGGGGGGGCAGGAACAGAGCTGCAGTGCAGGCGGCTGATGCCCCTTGCTTACGACTTCTGGGGGTGGCTGGGGGGCTGGCGGCCAGCGCGCTCCGAGACATTGCGCTTCACCTTGGTGGCCATGCCAGAGGGCTCTGCGTTGAGTGAGGGGCTGGAGCGGGATTTTTTCAAGCCATCGTCCTCCCCACCCGCTGCGTCAAAGAGGGTGGACTCGAATGCTGCCAGGTCCTCGGAGCCGGCCTTCAGCTTGGCCCGCAGCAGCATGGCGTAGGTGCCGTAGCGGGATTTCTGGGGGGCACAGTGCAGCAGAGAGAGGGGTTGGGCAAGCTGGGGGCTGCCCCTCAGTCTGCATCCCAGGGCGGGGGAGTGATGCTCATGGTCCCTCCACCCCAGCCTGCATCCCAGGGCGGGGGGGGCGATGCTCATGGTCCCTCCACCCCAGCCAGCAACCTGGGGCTGGGAGGGGGGGGAATACTCATGGTCCCAGAGCACAACAGTGGCACGGGGGGTATCCTAGCTCACCTCAAACTCCAGGTACTCTTCCTTCTGCTTCAATTCCTCGTACTCCTTGCCCTTCACCTTCTTCTCGGGCAGCGAGGAGCGATGTTCCAGCAGCTCTGCTGACATTGTCTTGAACTTGGTCTCGTGGCTCTTCACCTGCTCCTCCTGGGGAAGGGTGGCACCACATCAGTGTCCAACTCTGCCCTCTGCTCTGCCTCCCCAGCAGTGTGAGCCAACCGGGGCCAGAACAGGTTTTTTCCCCTCTTAGGTCCAGCCAGAATCTCAGCTTCTGCTCCTGGGTTTGCTGTTTGTGGTTTTTGTTTTTTGGTTTGGTTTGGTTTTTTTAAATGGCAGGCAAAAGCACAGGCCCTTGGGGGCAATCTGCTCCCACCTCGCAGGGGTCTGGCTGCAGTCTTAAAGCAGAATAATTTAATCCCCTCTAAAACTAGGCTGGTGGGTTTTTTTAATCCTTTCTGCTCTATGAATAACTGTCCTGGCATGCACGAGCGCCAGCTAATCCCCCTGGCTGGTTGTCTTTCAAGGTCCTGGCCCTGGCAGGACCCTGCAAGCCCTGGTATGGGACCACGTTCTCCTCCAGGTCTGACTCCGTCTCCTGTCTCCTGTCCCTGCTGCCAGGAACGAGACCTCGCCGCCTGCCCCCAACCTCAGCGCCCCCTTGCTCTCCCCGGCCATGCTCCCTCAGCCCTGTACCCCACTGGGAGGCAGCAGGGCACGTGGCGCCACGTGACCCTCCACAGAGGACAGGACCACCAGCAGACCCAGGAGCCTGTCCCATGCTGTCCACATGCCACGGCCCACCTGGGACAGCCTGGTGCAGGAGCTGGGCAGCAGCGGGCGGCTGAACTTCTTCTGAGAGCCGATGGCCGCGGGGAAGGGGGGTGCGGAGAACATGGCTGCCACTACATTGATGCGTGTGATCCACGAGTGCATCTGTTCGGGGTTCCTGGGGAGAAAGACCAAACCACAGAGGGGCTGAAAGGGGCACTATCCATGTCACAGGCAGAGGGACCTGCCCTGCAGACGAGATCCATGTCCCCCAGGCCCGGCCCTGGCCAGCCACAGCACCTGGGGCTCTGCTCCCAGCGACTCGGGCCATTGCAAGCCCGTCGGGGTGGGAAGAAGAGGAGCTGGGCAAAGCACAGCACTGACACCAGGTCCCTTTCCTTCCAGAAAGGGCCAGGACAGGAGAGAGCAATGTGGCCCTGAGCCCCATCCCAGCCTCCACCCCAGCCAGATAAGGCCTTGCGCCCCAGCGTGGGGCCCCGCTGGTGACCCTGGGCGACTCACTGTGCTTGGAAGAGGAAGACCCTCCAGTCAGCTGTCCTGAGGTAGAAGACATTGGGTCGCTTGCTGTAGTCAGACGCCCGTGTGGCAAGTGAATGGTGGATGCTAATAGCGTTCTTCAGCTCCTCTTCCGCCAGCGCCTTCCCTGGCTTATACTCCTCCTGCGAATCACAGGGCGTTTCAGAGCCAACTTAGAGATGTGCCCCACCATGAGCCAGCTCTACCAGGCCACAGGGACTGCAAGCGAGTGCTTGCAGCGGTGACACTTGGACATCACCCTCCACCAGAGTGCCGCAGGCTCTGCCGCCAGCTTGTGCTATACCCCCGGGGAGAGGTTGCACAGCCCGGGTGTGTGGGCTTGGCAGCAGCGTAGTGGTTGTTCCCCCCTGCCCCACAGCTGGGCAGCATGTGTGTCTGCAGGAGACTGAATTTGCGGTCCAATCCCCCCAGGGGGTGTGTCCTCTCTGCCCAGCCAAGCCCCTACGCGCAGAGCCCTCAGGCAGCAGCCGCTTTTGCTGCCCAGGCTGAGCCCAAGCACCCTGGGAAAAGGGCTGCCACCAGGTCCCCAAGCAATGGCTCAAGCAGGCATGGTGCTGAGTCTGCTTAGGCCAGGCTTTGCAATGCCATGTGATGGAGCCCCTCACTTGTTGCTGTGGGGACTGCTGTGACCCCCAACCCTGGGCTGGGGACAATCCCTCTCCCTGGCATGGACATAGGCGGCCACGCTGCTGCCTACCTTCTGCAGGTAGAGAATCATCCCCTTCAGGATGGCGTGGAAGGGCTTCCAGCCGCGCTTCCCTCGGGGTGCTGCCAGGGAAGAGAGAGCAGCCCAGACATCAGCCCTGAGCTGGGTAAAGGCACCCCCCCGCATCCTCCTCCAGACAGCCCTGCCACGGTGCACGTCACCCCACCCCGGGGACGGGCAGCACGCCAGGACTGTCCCCGCGCACCTGAGCCCGTGCTGGCCGCGTGGCTGGCAGATGGTGCTGCTGAAAAGCCCGCCTCGCCGCTCACGCTCAGCTTCACCACTGCCTCCCTGCTCGGGGCTGGGGCAGAGGCAGTGCTGCCCACCAGGTAATGCTGGCTTTGGAGGGCGGCTGCATCTAAGCAGATCAAGGCGGCATTAGACAGCCAGGGCTTAGAGGGGATTTTACGGTGGAAACGGTGAACGTGCCTGGCAGTGCCCAACCCGCAGCAGCCTGCTGTGTGGCTTGTTTGCTGCACCACAGGACACCTTCCTTCATCCCCACCATCCTGCGGCAAGGGCACATGCCCCAGGGAGCCCACCCCACCTCCCCGCCTGCCCCCTTCCCAGTGCCACGGGCAAGGGCTGCACTGCCTGCTGCCGTCCCAGCCTCTGCCCAGTCCTGATGGTGGGGGTGTGCGGGCAGGGAGAGGCTTTCAGGCTCCCCAGTCTGGGGACTGAATTGTGCCTGGTACAGCCAGACAGAAAGGGTGCAGGGGGCTGGCTTGATGCTAGTCAGACATCAGGTACCACTCCCGAATAGGGCTGCTGGAGCCTGCCAGTGCCCCCTCACACCGAGTCCCTCCCATGGGCTCCCCAGGCACCTACTTTTCTTGCAGTCGGGATCAGCGTGGATCTTGCGCACTAACAGTCCGTGCTTGTAGGTGGCGATGCTGGAGTCTTGGGAGAAGTCCAGAAAGGGGTTACTGCAGCTGCTGATGCGCTTGATGGACTTAGGGTTGGGGTCTGCCAGCTCCGAGAGGGACTTTCTCAGCTCCTCCTCATCTCTGCCAGGCACAGATTTGGGTGGGGAAAGGCTTTGTTACCTTGCTGGCGAAAGCAAATACCAAGCCTCCTACTTGCCGGTGCCACTTTTAAGCCTGGCTTCTGAAAGGGAGGCCAGGAGAGGCAGACCAGGCTGAGCAGTCTCCCATCAGCACTAGAGAGCATCCCAATCCCAGTCATGCCTCTGTGTCCCTGCCCCTCTAGGCCGACAGCTGAGGTGCTGCCTGGACCTTTGAAAAGCATGGGAGTGTCTGCTGCTGGCTCAGGGTAGGGGGTCCTGCCTGCCTCAGGGAGCAAGGAGCATTTTTGGACAGGGCTGACTGATGCTGCCCAAGCCGACGAGCCACAGTGTACAGGCTCACAGAGCTGGCAAGGAGAGAGGGTCTAGAGGGAAACCCCCTCAAAGAGAGACCCAGGCTGCAGCCCCCACTCGTTCAGGGCAGCAGCCAGGCTACAGGGCTCAGAGCCACCAGCAAAGGGGTGTGGGCAGCCTGCGGCAGGGGGGCCCCGGGCAGGCCCCGGGT